CCTTTGTCCATATCATTCCACTACCATTAACATAAAACCAATGCCCAGTAAGCAAAACCTCTCCCTTTCCCCTTTCTTCCAACCTCTGGCAGCGGCTAATAATATGTGATATCTATGTATTCGCTTAGTTCATCTTAGTGAGGCCAGAAATGATTTGCCTTTGTGGATCGACTTTCTTCACTCGACTTGCTTCCAAGGCTCACCCGCACTATGGCATGCATCGGGACCTTCACTTTATGGATGAGCAGTATCGTCTTGTGTGTTTATGCTACGCATTGTTTATGCGTTAATCTCTTGATGGAAATTTCCATTGTTTCTACCTTTGGGCTCTCATGGAAAGTGTGCAGGGAGCGCTGGTGTACACATTTCTGTTTGTAAGCCTGCCTTCATTTCTTCTGGGTATAGACTGAGGGGTGGGATTCCTGGATTATATAGTCCTTCTAGGTTCAGTTTTTTTTTTTTTGAGAAACCACGAAGTATTTTCCACAGTGGCTACCCCATTTCACATTCTCAGCAGCACTGGGGGAGGCTTCTGGTGTCTCCACGACCTTCCCAACACCTGCTGTTGGCTTTTGTGGTTCTTTGTTCTTTTGATCACTAAAAGTCCAAGGGGCTGTCGTGGTATATCTCTTTGCAGCTCCCTAATCACTAATGATCCTATGAGTCCAAATCGACTCAATTGCAAGCAAGTTTGAGGGGTTTTTTTTAACGATTAATGAAGGAGCCCCTGGTGGAACAGTGGATAAAGTGGTCAGGTGATACAGTTAGAACTCACCTGCTGCTTCATGGGAGAACCATAAAGATTCACAGCCTTAAATACCCTCTGCGGCAGCGCTGCCCCATCTTCAAGGGTTAGTATGAGTTAGAACTACACTGATGGCAGTGGGTTTGGTTTGCAATGGCTGATGAAGGAGCCCTGGTGACTCAGTGGTTAAATCTTGGCTGCTAACCAAAAAGGCAGCAGTTTGAATCTATCCAAGTGTGGCCATCAAGTTTTGTAAAGATTCTAGCCTTGGTAATACTCTGGGCATTCTGCCTCTGTCCATCCAGCAGCTGAGTGAGAATCAAGTAGACAGCAAAGAGTTTGGGTTATGAGTTAGCGGTGAGTAATATAGAGAATCTTTTCATTGGTTTGTTGGCCATTTGAGTACCCTCTGGTGAAATATCGATTTTAGTCTTCAGCCCATTTTTGGTGGAGTTCTTTGACTTTTGGTTACTAAACTGTAGACATCATATAAATATGGGGGATATTGGATCCTTAGGGATTACACGGCTCCCACAAATATTCTCCCCAAGGGTGGATAGTCTCTTCAGTTTGTTGATGAACCAAGGTCCCTAATGAGCCAAAGTGTTTCATTTTTATGAGGTCCTGTGTATTGATTCTGCCTTTTTGCAGCTCATGCTTTTTTTCCCACAGCTGATCATGCATCATTAAAAACTAGGTGATGATCATATAATTTTTATAAAAAATGTTTACATGTTCAAATCAAAACAAGGATCCAGAGAATGATGGCGTGGGGGAAATCATTATGAGTGAGGGCTGTTTTCCATTCTACTTTGTTTTCACGTCTAAAGTTTGGAAATGAAGAGTCCACTTGAGCGAGAGATGAGCATTTGTCTATAAACCCGGGAAATTGCCCTTCAATATGCAGATTGGGTATTTACACACCAAGACATTCTTCTTTCACTGAAATAGGACAAGGCTTCTGCTTTTTTTTAAAGTGTGTTTATAAAACCTTACCCCCAGGAGAATGCCATCAACCCAACTCACAGCCATGACTCAATTCTAACTCACCGGGACCCTACAAGACAAGGTAGATCGACCCTGGTGGGTGCTCAAGGCTGTAACTCTTGAAGGGAGTAGAAAACCTCCTCTTTCCCCCTCAAAGCAGCTGGTGGTTTTGAACTGTTATCCTTGAGGCTGGCATCCTAATGAGTACAGGAGAATATAGTGTGGAGATTTTATTCTGGACTTCTTCATTTAACTTAAGGAGCCCTGGTGATGTCGTGGGTTACACAGTGGACTGCTAACCACAAGGGCAGCAGTTCAAACCCACCAGCTGCTCATCAGGAGAAAGATACACCTTTCCGCTCCAATTAAGATGTACAGCCTCAGAAACCCACAGAGGCAGTTCTACTCTGTCCTATAGGGTGGTGATAAGCTGGAATGAACTTGATGGCAGTGGTTGTTCTGTTTGGGGGTTTTCCCTTGAACTTGCATCTTAACAGGGGAGACTCAGAGGGGCCACCAGAACTGATAGCGATGATGGGCATGTCAGGAGTTGGCACCACGTGACTCTGCTAGCTCAGAGACTGGACCAGTGGCAATAAAGACCATCTACCACGAGGCCTTGAGCTCAGTGGTTGGGAAACCAAAGTCAAGCTGGCAAGCAGCACAGGATCTCAAGTCTTGGACTTGTTTCCAAAACTGCTTCAGAGGTGAATCTGGAAATACAGATAAACATCTCCGGAGGCAGGAAAAGCCGTACTTAAAACCACTTTGAACTGAGGTGAACATGTGTTTGCTGAGATACATGTCATGCATGGGAAAGATAGCAGACGGGTCCGCTGTGTTCTCAGATGCCTCAGCACCAGGGAAGGTAGACATTCAAGGACACTAGTATCTGCTCTGATCGAAGAGTCAGCTGTAACTTCTGATGTGCGGTCTCCTGGGGAACCAGCTAGTTTAAGGGGAGTGTCACCAGGGTAGGGTATCCCTGCGGGGGGTGGATGTGAACCGCAAGGTTGGGTGTTTGAGACCACCCAGAGGATCCTCCAAAGAAAAGTCTGGCTATCTACTTTCAAGTGGCCTCAGCCTTTGGAAACGCCATGGACTGCGACACAGTTCTGCCCGCACCGGATCACTACTGGCTGGAAGAGCCTCGCGGGCAGCGGGTGGGTGCTAGAGTAGGAGATGCGGGGTGGGAGTTGGGGAATCTGAATTAGAATCCTGTCTTCACACTTTATCATGCTACCCCCACTCCTCCATAACACTGACATCAAGCCAATTCTGCTAGAATTGAGTCACAGCAACCCCATGGGACAGGGTAGACCTGCCTCTCTGAGTTTCTAGACCATAACTCTTGATAGGAGTAGAAAGCCCAGTCTTTCACTTGAGGAGCACTTGCTGGTTTTGAACTGCAGACCTTGGGGTTAGCAGCCCGACGCCTAACCGCTATACCATCCAGGGCTCTGCAAAACCACAACCAAACCTCCTCCTTTTGGGGTTGGTTTCAACACCTGGCAACCCCGTGTGATGGAGCATAACCACTCCACAGGGCAGGGGTTCTCAACCCTCCTCAGGCCATGACCCTGTCATGCAGTTCCTCACGTGGTGGGGATGCCCCCCAACCATAAGATTAGCTCCGTTGTTACTTCATCACTGTCATTTTGCTACTGTGGTGAATCAGACGATCCCTGTAAAAGGGTCTTTCAACCCCCAAAGGGGCTGAGACCCACAGGTTGAGAACTGCTGCCACAGGGCTTTCTGTGCTGTGATCTTAAAGGACTCCAGGCCTTTCTGCTTCTGAGTAGGTTCGAACCATCAACCTTTCAGGGAGTAGACAAGCATGACAGTTTGCACCACACAGGACCTCCAGCGCTCTCAGCCAGTCCCCGGGGCCAGGCCCTGCTGGACTCTGATCCGAGATTCTGTTATAGACCCAGGGTAATGCCACCCAGGAGAGCCCATTTCATGTCATCAGCTTCTGAGGGTTGTGGCTTTCTGCTTTATTGTCTAGTTATAGGACACGGGGTTGCCAGGGGTTGAAACCAACCCCAAAGGGAGGAGGTTTGGTTGTGGTTTTGCAGAGCCCTGGATGGTATAGCGGTTAGGCGTCGGGCTGCTAAGCCCAAGGTCTGCAGTTCAAAACCAGCAAATGCTCCTCAAGTGAAAGACTGGGCTTTCTACTCCTATAACTAGACAATAAATGTTTACAGGCATTTCAGAGGGCCATCACTGGACAAGTCACCACCTGTCTGCCAGCCTGTCCTACCTTCTGTGGTGGCTTGTGTAGTGCTGTGATGCTGGAAGCTCTGGCCCCCGCATTTCAAAACCAGCAGGGTCACCCCCGGTGGTGGGAAGCTTGCAGCAGAGCTTCAAGCCTAACACAGACTGGGGGCCGGCGTGGGGTGGGGTGGGGTTTCCAAAGACCAGCCAAGGAAAACCTCTTGGACCACAACCGGACTCTCAGTGGACACGTCCTTAGGTGGGGTCACCTGCTGGATGAGGACATTGTGTTTGCTAAAGCAGAAGGCTGGAGGGGGAGCGGGCCCTCCGTGAGAAGCAGTGACCCAGGAGCTGCAACGATGAACTAGACCCTACTGGCCGTGACTCTGAGGATGATCAAGGGCTGAGAAGCCTTTTGTATGAGCGTGTGCAGCGCGGCTCTGACGGAGTGTAGCTTGCACACAGACAGCGCTCGTGAGCGAGTTGAAAGGGGATTTGTAAAACATGAAGCGGTTACTTTGTTAGGCATTTATTATTCTTACTTGAAATCACTGTCTACATTTGCTTCTATATTACCGAAAGACGCCCCAGGCTCCTCAATCTCCATCGGTGCATTTTCAGGGTGTTCACTGGTCAACGTTCTCTGGAGCAGATGAATGAAAAACCCAAACCAAACCGGATTTCATGCCACACCTTTCAAATCAATAGAATCCTTTCAACAGACCGCCCTGGCTGTGATGCAGCTACCTGCTCGCTGGCGAAACATCAAAGAGTCTAGGTTTCCCTACTTAGGGCCATCACTGGTCGCTTTTCACCGTACTTTCAAGTTTGGATCCAGTTGGAAGGAAAGGGAAAACAAACAAACAAGCAAACCCTGTTTGGCCACTGCAGGTGTCTTCAACAGCTCATACCAAAAGATTTAAACACACACACACACACACACACACACACACCAGTAAAGAAGACATAAACAGATATCTACATATCATTTTACTGTTTCCAGGAGGAAAAAAGTAGAATTCCCTAATGTTAGAGGTCTACACAAGAAATCTTAAAATAAACTCTGCATTTTATTCCAATGATGTTGTTTATACAGGACAGAGGAAAAGCAATTGGCAAATCAGAAAGCGAGAGGGTTGGCATAGAATGCCCACTGTGTTCAGGTGCCTGTAGGTGGGATCTACAGGCACGCTCACCGAGGCCTGTGAGGCATGCCCATCTGGAACCCCGTCTCCTTGCCAGCTACCATCCAGGTCAATGCCCCCGCCGCACCACGCCCACACTGGTGAAGAACGTAGCGCTGGACTGCTGTGGCCATTCAGCGCTCCAGCCAAACCATCCTCTACCGTTCAGCTGGTCCATCCACCCCCAGTCACCACAGGCCTTTAGATCAAAACCAACAAACACGTGAACAAAGCACGCTTCTCATTTGTCCTGACAGCTTGTTCATCCATGGCTATGTACATGCAGATGCTTAAGATTCAGTCAGGCCTTTACAGAAACATCAATGTGGATAACAATGAGCAAAGACTGCTCTTTAGAAAGAGAGCTAATCACAGAAGCAACGGCCTGGAAGCAGACAAGAAAGACCAGCCTCTGTTGTTTCCCAATTGTCCTGGTGTGGACCAACGAAGGCATCTAATGTTTACACAGCAGGCACGTGGAATATGGGTCATTAAGCACCTTTATTATAGCATCAGCTATGGAATTCAGAGGTCTGGCCTACCTGTATCTTTTCCTCTGCAATGTGAAAAATTAATTTTAGAATAAAGGTGTCTATTTATCTTCTTAAAATGTGGGTGTTTGATTGGAATTACAATGACTGTATAGGTTGATTTGGGGAGAGGTGACAATAATTAAAACTCAATTTTCAATCCAAGAAAATGGTGCCAAAGTCTCAATCTTCTCCCACTACTATTGACTCAGACTTTAAAGGGCAGAGTAGAACGGGCCTACAGTAGAACGGGCCTACAGTAGAACGGGCCTACAGTAGAACGGGCCTACAGGGCTTTTAAGGCTGGAATCTGTATGCAAACATACTACATTTTCCTTGTAACTGGGGGATTCGAACTTCTGACCTTTCAGGACTTTAACCACCACATCACCAGAGCTCTGCCTGAAAATGGAATACACTTCATTTATTTAAAAAGTCTGTTTATTGCATTTCAGCTTGTCTTTCAAGAAATTAGTTTTTCTTGTCTTGATTATCACCATTCCTGATATAAAGTTCATCACAATCTTCCAACAGTATCCTCTATCTCCCTGCTGTTTTTTCAATCTTTTAAACAAGATTCTTATTGATGTTATATCAAGCATTTTGCTTCCATTGCCTCAATATTAGCAACGGAGCAGTTCCCTAAGGATCTCCATCATCCCTGGATCATCTAGCGTGTACACATATGCCCTCATAAGAAAGTTCCGGTTCATAGTAACTTTTGAGGACCAGACCCCAGCATCTTTGCTAGCAGTGAGCAGGTTAGTGCCCATTGCCTCAGAGTGGGCAGCCTTTAGATGAACTGGCTGTGCAGTTGTAGTCGTTGATGTAGTTGCAGTCTTACTCCAGAAATACCTACCGGAAATGTCTACCTACAGGGGGTACATTTTAACATAGGTAATCGAGGGCTCCCACACACATGGTCTCTTCTAATCCATGCAAGATGTTCCATAGAACATGATCACAGAAGATCACAGGGGAGTTGATGACCAAGAAGGGTACACTCACTCTAAAGAAAAGCGACACTCACCCAAGACTTGGGGGGAATTATTCCCAGAATTATAATTCCTTTGAAGTCCTACAGATGTCAATAAAAAATAAGTTTCTGCAGTGTTCATAACTGGTTCTTTTTATATAAGCAAACTGAGCCAAAAACATTACACATTCTTTGGGAGGTTGGCGACAGACAGGATCCTAACTACTGCCGTTAGTAAATAGTCATAGCAAATTAAACAGAGAACTTTGGAAAGGCAAGACATCACACATTGAGAACCACTGCACCCTGTCAGCCTGGTGACACGAGTCCTGCATGTTCATAGTTAAAGGCTGATGCTCACAACCCACCGTATTCAAAACCATTGTGAAAAGTCCCGTAAAAAACCAGGAGAGCAAAGCGGACAAACCAGCATCAACAGACCGTCTTTCCAGTCTACTGATGCAGTGGAGGGAACGCAAAACAGAAAAGCAAAGGCGCTTTGTAGACTTCTGGCCACGCACGCAGTCGAAGGCAGCCAGACAGGATCGGAGAAGCTTTTCCAGGTCTGCGGGTAACACCGTGGGGGACATCAAAGGAACACAGAGTATGTTTTCAAATAAAGCAAGGTGGCTGAGGTCCAAGTTTGACCTTCCCCTTGAACAAAACCTAGGCATCACATGGATAAGAGACCAGGGTTACAGTTTTCACACTTAAAAACCATAGTCTTGAAGCAAGTGGAACTTCTCTTTCAGACCACATCGGACCCGTTGGTGATTCAGAGCCGTATCTAAGTTCTTGTTAGGTAGAACGAGCGCGACGGGGCACGTGCTATCGAAGCAGGCCGTGCTGGAAGCCGTCGTCAGCCTGGAGGAGCGCAGGAGGCAGTTTTGCAGATCCATGGCCTGGACGTCCCACATAAGAGCATCTGTGTGTGTGTGTGTGAGTGTGTGTGTGTGTGTGTGTGTGTGTGTGTGTGTGTGTGTGTGTGTGCGCGCGCGCGCGTGGGTGTCCATTGAGAGAGAGCCCCTAGCTATTAAAACCAACCGTCTTCATGATAAGGGAAGGCATCGTTGCCAATCAGAAGAAGTACTCTTTCTGATTTTCACTGATGGCTTGTTGAACATGAAGCTCAGTTTTCAAAACAGCCTCAGCACTGTCTACGTTCTCTGACCTTTTTGCCTCGTTTCTTTTGTATAACCTTTTCTGCTGATAAATACGGACGGCTATGGCAGTGATGCAAAGCAAGATAAAGATCACAACAGCTATCAAACCTAGTGAGAGGAGAGAGGAGAGAGAGAGAGAGAGAGAGAGTCAGAGTTTAGCAGCCAAATGGAAACCATGCCAATTCACTGTTTCCCAGGCCATCAAAATATTTTCTCCCTAAATCGAGCCTCTGTTAGTATCATTTGGAAATGAGAAAACGCCCAGCCTTCCTGAGGGGTTTACTTTGGAATCTTATCCATCTGGGGAGTTCAATCACAGTAAGATGTATGTTCCACAATTAGAGCACCTGTATGTTCCACACACGCCGACATGCCACCCCAACCGCGTGATCCCTGATTCTTAAGACACAGATGAGTTTTCGTTCCTTGGGAAGATCGAGGGGGACTACCAAATTCAAAGGATTACATGTGTTTTTGCATTCGAATGTATGTACTTTTATAAAGTTTATTTTCAATGATGTTTGCTAACCTGAAAAAGTAGGGATGGCGCACGCGCGCATGTTTGTGGGGGAAATTTCATTTTTCTCACAAATGTTTTGAAGCACTGTATTATATATATAAATTATATATATATATAAATAATCCAGATAGACAAATCTCATTTGTGAAGTGATGATTATTTGATCTCTCTGCTGTATATGTTTTAAGGGCTGTGATTAGTATCTATATAACTATTTCTCCACTCTGCCTTTACATCAGGCCAATCACCATCAGCATGTAGTCTGTAAATCCCTGGGCATCCCAGACTCTTTGCGAGGGCCCTCAAGGTCAAAACTCGGTCCATTATAATTCTGAGATGGGTTTATTTTTCACTGCGTTGACATTTGCACTGATCGTGCAAAGCAAAGTTCTAGAACAATCCCTGGTGCATTAGCACGAATGAAAGAAGCCAAGGACAGCAGACTGGAGTGGGATCATTGGATCCTTCACCGCCTGTCAATCACAGGAGTGGGGGCACTTACACTTCAGAAAGTCCTTGATGAAGCAGTAAGTCCTTCTACTACGTCTTAACCCCCGAATACATGTCTTTCTGGGGTTCTGTGCGACGCTAGGGGAAACACAAATAAAGCAGTCTGTGGCACACCGAGTCGGGGGACACCAGCAAACAGCCTCGTGTGAGCACATGCACTGGGAGCTGAACTGGGAGTCGTTTGATTCATGCAACAGGGTTTTCATGCGAAACAGTCACTGCTGAAGGTTGGCTGCTGAGCCTCGGCTGCCGGGCAGCCGTCTTTCCATCATGAGTGAGGTCAGTGCCTGCACGTCACTTCAGGGAAGGCAGCACGGTCTACGGGGTGAAGTTGCCGTGGACAAAATCTGAGCTTGCAAATGAAAATTAGAATCGGGAAGACAATGCCATGGGCCCTGCTCGGAGCCTGACAGACACTTCAGAGACGACCCGGGAGATGGGGAGGGGTGTTAATGAGGACTATGCAAACCAGCAGCGTCGATCAAATCTAGTATTGTAAACATCCCCTCTGCATTAAAGGGAGTATATCAAACTGTCTTGGAAGAAGTACAACCAGAACGCTCCTAGAGGCAAGGATGGCACGACATGTTGTCAGGAGAAAGCAGTCCCCGGAGAAGGGCAGCATGCTTGGGGAAGTGGAGGGGCAGCGAAAAAGAGGAAGGCTTTTGATGAGATGGATGGACACAGTGGCCGCAACAGTGGGCTCAGGCACAGGAACGACTGTGAAGATGGCCCACGTCTGGGTGATGTTTTGTTTGCTGTACATACGGAGCTCACTCAACCACACCTCACAATGCAATGTTAGAAGCTTATTAGCCACCATGGATAATTGAGATCAGAGTGTGCTGGACAAATTCCCCAGGTCCTGAGAGAGCCGCCAAAGCAGATCCTTGGACAGGTCCGCTTTCTTTCAGAAAGGGAAGCAACCCCTCCTCACTGATCAGCTTCCTATAGAAGTGACCAGCAAGTTCTTCACTTGAAGTCTGAAGGATTCACTAACCAACGACTCTGGTTCTTTTTGATGTTATTATCACGAGTCATCTTCCTGAAGGATTGCTTTAGTTAGACTATCCATCTGCTCATCTACCTTTTTTTCCTTATCATAGAAAATTTGTAGGTAGTCTCAGATGCTATAAATAAGTCTATTTCTTGGCTGTAGGTCTTTGGTTTAAAGCGAGACCAGTTTTTGGATCATTTGCACGTGGAAATGCTGAAGAAGGGAAATCTACAGCAAGCCGGCCACCATGATGGTAAAATAAACACCATCCTGGCATTAGCCCAGACAGCACACCTGACAGTCAGAATCACGGAGCCTTTCTAGACCTTGTCTGCTCCATTAATGTGATTTCTCTCTTTTAATTTGGGGATGGTTTTATTTCAGGGATTGCTACATCCCAGGAAAGCCTTGATCTTACCTGTTACACCAAATCAAACCAGACCGTCTGAATAAAATACGGCAGCCGTTGCTTTTAGGGGCCTTGCCATCTGAAGCTCCATGTGAACGTGTTTTTGTGAGGAAGCTACGTGGCTTTTCCTCTAATTCCATCCATCCATCCATTTTTATGTAGCCTGGCCAGAAACTGTCTCCAGTATCTGGTTACTAGTTTTAAATGTCTCATTAACTCCATTCTCTCATCTTAAACTGTTCTCTATACACTTTGTAAGTAAAGGATTAAGATCATCGCAAATGTAGAACATGGGTCTATTAGCCTGTGATGGTGAGATTTTTATGTCACCTTCAACCTGGGGATCATGCAATATACTCCTCGATCCCTTGAGGCCTCCTCACCCCCCACTGTCATGACCCCAGTGCCACTTCCCACTCTAGACTAGACGGGAGCATGTACATAGGTATAGGCAAGAGATACAACTCACGGCATGTGGAACCCAGGAACAGGAATGGGAATAAAGAAACCAAAAAGGCAGGGGGAAGGTGGAGAGACGTAGTGAGGGAGGTGCAGTAGAGCACTAATAGATCACGCAATATACCTCTGATCCCTCGAGGCCTCCTGACTCCCCACTATCATGACCCCAGTGCCACTTCCCACT